GCACCCCGGAAATAGCGGGTCACATGAGTGGAGACAAACATACAAAAAAAGTAGAGGAAAACGACGATAGTAAGGATTAGGAAAGAAAAAGCAGCAGTTCCCTGTTGCAGTTCAAGCACAGTTATGAGCATGACATTGATGAACCACCCCATTTACAATTCTTCTGTGTATAAGAACATGTTAATGTCCCCCCTTTGGGAATGGCCTAAAGACACTTCATTTTTTAAATAGTAGAGGGTTTTACGGCGCTCGCAACTGCATAAGGTCGTATGAGCGCCAAGGGGTGGGAGTCAACAGAGAAGTCTTTACAGGGAATCAGACTTATTCTGCTCACCTCTCTAGCTTCAACAGCACAAGGTCTGCTTCGACTATCAAGGCACCCCAAAAATAGCAGGTCACAAGAGAGTGACAAACATACAAAAGAAGTAGAGTAAAAATGACAATAGTAAGGATTAGGAAAGAAAAAGCAGCCGTTCCCTGTTGTAGATCAGGCAAATTTATGAGCGTGACATTAATCAGGGGGGGCGTTTACAATTCTACTGTGTTTTACATAAGAAAAAGGTAAAGGTCCCTCTTTTCGGAATGGCTAAAAGACACTTCAGCCAGTAGCACCGCCCCGGGGGTGTTGTTTTTTTTTTTAAAAAGTTCCACCGCACTTGCAACACAATTAGGTCATAATATAAGTGCCGAAGATTAGAGGTGTTGCAAGAGAGTAACAAAGAACCAAAAAAAAAAAAAAAGAAAGAAATTAGAGAGATAGGGACGTTAAGTTATAATATGTGAACTGGACGTAAGAGGAAAGAAGGAGCAAACCACAGCACCATAGCAAAGCACCCGCCAGTCACCCACTTACAATAATATTTTTATGAGGCAACAGCCTGGTACATGACGCGTGATATGTCGCATGCTTATTAACGACCAATAGTTTTATTGTATAAGACTTTTTGGTTTAGAAAAAAAGTAAATAGAAGCACATCAACACAACAACGGTCGTTTGGTGCCGGGGGAAAAAAGCTAGACAGACAGAAACAACAGGAGGGAAGAAAAGAAGTAGAACATACCGGTAGCACCCTCCAACCGCCCACACAGAACAGAATAAGCAGGATACTGCTTGCATAATAAATATTTACGTAGCCGATATGGTAGCGGATCAAGTCAGGCTATACAGTTGGTGAATTCCAAAATAAAATCATATCATGGGTGGTTGGGGGGGGGGGTGTTCTGGTGTGGTTTGCTCATTCTTTCCTATCAAACATCTATTGTCCTTATCTCTCCCCCTTTTTTGTGAGTTTGTTACTCTCTTGTTACACCTCTAATCTTCTGCACTTGACTATATGACTGTATTGTGTTGCAAGTGCCGTAAAACTATCTAAAACTTAAAATATATATGTTATGGAGTGATAAGTTCATGCAAGTTAACAGTTTTACAATGGACAGGTGGATAGAATGATTGGCAGATAGATAGACAGAGAGATAGATGAGTATAAGCAAATAGGTTGGTTGACACATAATTTATATTACATAGAGGACAAAAGGAGGACACAAACAGAAATGTTAAACAACAATTTGTAAAGGTAGAATTACGATGCCTTATTGCACAGTTCCTCACCGAGTTTGTGAGCAAACATCATGTCATAGTGAACAAGATAAATATGACAGAAAACTAAAGTCACAATTTTAACAGTTTATTAGCTCCTTCTCTTTTTTTTCCACAAAAAAAGATACAAGTGTGACCACTGAATCTTATTATAAAATATAAAAGGCAAAAGTCTGGGTGCAACAAGATACAGTAAAAAAAAACTCTTCACGATAAACTAAGTTAAATGTAAATATGAGATCACAAAATTCAGTACAGGGAAACAAAAGAGGCAACATTTTAAAAGAAAAAACCCCCAAAGAACAAAACTAACAACAGTTCACTGCCAGCTGCATTTTATATAAAACAATGTCATCCTTTCCTGCATTCTAAAATTGCATCACGTACAGAAAGGTCTATCTCACATGACAAAGTTAAAAGCATGTATGCAAACACTTTCCTGCTCCCCAATACACACCCTCTAGATAATATACGCACAAACACACCCTGTGGTCACTGATACTAACAATACTACTACTACAATGCAGATGCTCTTCCCTACTCCAAGGAATTGAAGAACTTTAGCGTTCTGAAGGCTTAGCGATATGCAAATGCTGTTTAGTTACTTGCTAGCAAAATTTAAATGTTTAACGATTTTGGAGAAAAAGAAATGTAAATAGCGACTGAACACACGTTAAACTGCTTGGGGCCATTTTCAGGAGCAACCATTAGATCAGATCTTACTGTGATTTCTCTTCGCTTAATAGAGATGGTCATAAGCAGACTAGTGTACCTGTATTTGGTGATACAATATTTAGTTCCTCACCTCTTTCCAAATTCCCCTCTCATTAAATTATTTTGGTCAGACCTTCAGGGTGCTTGTAAAACATAATGGACATCTTACTATCTGTGTGGTAAAAGTTATGATGTGTGTTCCGTGGCAACACATCGCTACCTCAGAATTTAAAAGTTTTATCTTGACATTTTTGGCCGTTTTGAGTTACTAAAAACATGCGGTGAGAAACCAAATGTTCGATCTGCTCTATTAAAATCGTAAAATTATTCGGAGTCGTTATGAAGATATTCAAAGAATTGCATTCGAAAAAGCTTGCAAAGCTTACTTAGTATAAATTTGAGTTTCAAAAATGCAGTTTCATTTTGGAGGTGGGAATTGTAAAAAAACCCAAAAACTTTGCAACTTAAAAAAAAACTTGTACGAAGTTGAGTTTCAACTGTGCAATTTCATATTGGAGGTGGGAATGGTAAAAAGATACTTGCAAATTTTAAAAAAAGAGAACCATTGAGCAAAAGATGTCTGGGAATGACAGGAATGCCATCAATTTAAGGAGACCAGTAGTGTAGACAAACAAAAGAAAATGTATCATGTACAACATTATTTTAGAAGAAAAAAAAAGAGTCATTCACAGCCTGCAGCCTTTACAAAATGTATCGAAAGAGCTACATTGTTTCCATTGCAGAGTAGCATCGACTAAAGATATCACCTGTACTTAAGAATCAAATGGGCAATGCTTGTTTCAGATAAATTAGGATAAGCACGATTTTTCATTGATTTATAACAATTAACAAATAAATAGTCATTTTTACATTCACATTTCCCCATTAAATACCCAAACATGTACAAGAACAAATTTTAATGAATATCACAAAGTGATTTTACTTACTCTTGTTACAAATGCCAACCAAATAAAGCACACCATTAAAACTGAGAGTAAAAATGATGTTAGTGTAAAATTTATCATCACATAGTTTAATGGCTAATAGCAAAGAAAAAAAACCAAACTTTTATATGAGCAGAGATTGAGACAACGATATCAATCCATGCAAAAAGTGACTGAAAAGTGTCCCTTTTCTTTTTTTCTTTTTAAGTCCACAGCGAAGCAATCGAGGGTCTTTCTCTAACAACATAATTTTAACACTCTAAATATCAAAAGAAAACATAACAATTAGGTAGCAGTAAGCATAATAACAAGGGTCGAGACATTCTAAGGTGAAAAAATTATCATGTGCATAGAAATATCAATTGTAAAAATGAGTACAATACTTATACAGGTCACGAATAGTCTGCACTTAATTAAGATGAAAACAAAAGATAGAAAACACGATGAAAATATCAAATAATCCTGAAAGCAATATTGGAAAAAGAGTTTTTCAAGAAAATATTGTTAATAATGCTGATAAAAGTAATAACAGTAGTTATGACAAGAACAGCAACAACAAAAACAACATTAATAATAATATTATTAATAATAACAACAATATTAATACTACTACTACTACTAATGATAATGTAATAATACTGATGATAATGGGCACCATGAAAATGATGATGACGATGATAATAATAACAATAATAATAATAATAATATTAATGAATGTAGCATCTTCCCATTGTATATCAAGCTCAAGGCACTAACGAAACAAAAAACCCAGTAGGGTTTTACATTTTATACATGATCATGATCAATACATAAACAAAAACATAGAATAATAAGGTGAAACGTTTTTTGCTCCTGGGCATTAACATTACGTCATTCATCTGTAGACATCCCTGGCATAATCATGCCATAACAACAGCAGAAATAAAACTCTCTCCATAAAAAAATAGAAAATTACACTTGACCACAGCAACCAAAACAAAAGCAAAGATTCCTGGCTACCGTAAATAGTGTACTGGTAAGGAACTTATGTAAAAATGGGAGTGAACAAGGTTTAGTCTGGATATAAAATTGCAAGAGCATTTTAGGAGAAATCTACCTTTGTACCATGTGACCTGTCTTTTGTTGTATAAAAAGTGAGTTCATCTTTGTCATGGGCTCTTTCTCACGACCACAGTCAATATATATCCATGGGAGCGAAGTCCACTTCTCACACTGCTGTACAGATGTTAAAAATCTTATAACGTTACAAATTCTATAATAGGTTATGCAGCAAACAAAAGATGACATTATGCTCTTCACTAAAAGAAACAGGGAAAAACAGTCGGTAAACAAGCCAGTAGCCAAGATTTGTGAAAGACAGTGAATTCAAATGTCACCCTACACCAACTAAACTGAAACAAGACAAAATGAAGATAGAAGAGATTCGTAAAATCAAGAAAGGTGAATTCTGCACCCATCCCTATATCTTGTGATACATCACATTAAATAAAATAATGAACTGTGATAACTAGCAGTCAATAAAATACTAGAGCAATAGCTACAAATTATTTTTGCAAACAAAAATGAGGATGATCTGAAAGATTTCAAAGGGAACTATTACCCTGAGTGTATCGCACTTGCCTTTCAAAGAAAGACATGTTTGGGGCCCCTCGTGGTTTAAAGGTACCATGTTTGCCTCTCATTTCCAGGATCAAAACCCGACAGCATCAACAAAAATTTTCTTCTCTTAAATTTTCTCCTTTTACCTCCTTTCTTGTCCAGTTCTGTTATTTCCCTTCATCTCCACCATCTCCCCCCACGCCTGGCCTCCTCTGTGCTTCTCTCAGCTCTTACTCCCGCCTCTTCTACTGCTACTCCAGGCTCCTTTTTACAGCTGTCTTTCAGCTATACCCCTGATTTTACGGTGGGTAAGATAAAAAAAAAACCTAGCCTTCTTGGATTAGGGCAAAAAATCTCAAGAGGTCTGGTGTGCAAGCTGCACATGTCAAAGATCCCTTGGTGGTCCTAAAATCCATTAGAGTAGGCTCTGCAGCCATCCGAGCAAAATTCGAAATTAATTCCTACGAAAACTGAAAATACTCTTGTCAGTATAAAAAAATATAGAGTACCTTCAAAATTGGAATGTGGCTGCCTGAAAGCAAAGGGCCCTATGAAGTAGAAAAAACTGTCACATATGTAAAAATCAGTTGCACTGCAGTTTGAAGAACCAGCAGTTGACTACCCCTGCGAACTAACATAGGAACACATATGAGGACATGGCTGGTCCCTTCCAGGTTGGAGGCCACATCAAAAGTTCTAAACTAATCTACAGGAAGTGAGTGACAAAAAAGGATGTAAAAGGGCATGACAACAAGAAGAGAAAAAGCAGACAAAAAGCTATGGGCAACAAAAAAAAATTTAAAAACCCAAAACAAACCAAAAGTCCCTATAAATGTTAACTCTTCTTTGCTTTAAGGTTTTGATCAATACCTTTACTCTGAACACAACTGGACCTGAGCATATGTTAAATACTGACGTTAAATAATATAATAAGCACGAAAAAGTTACTGTACAGCTCTTGCTATAAGCAGCGACTTTTTTTCCTGAGCTTTAAACCCTGCTGCGGCTTAAACAATGATGCAGCTTACTTGCGGATTTTCCTGATTGCAGGAGCGTCCCTCCCTTGTCTATTCGTACCATACATCTAAAACATAAAAAAGTTGACATATTTTCCTTAACACCACACTTTAGCATACGCCTAAGAAACGCAGTCCAACAGACACTACTCGATCTGTTCAACTCCAAGACTGAGGAAGAAGATTTCAGCTGAATCAGCCGACACGATAATGATGACACTAAATAAATGTGATGGACATACTTGAGTTGCATATTCTGCTGCGGCTTATAAACCAGTGCAGCTTTATTTAGGAAAAAAAAGTTTAGATTAAAAAACAATTTTGTGGGTGTGGCTTTTATACAGGTGTGCTCAACAGCCCGAAATTTACAGTAATACAAAAACAAAGATGATTTATTCTAAAAAAAACAATATTGCTAAACCAAAGTTTTTCATAGCAAGGTCATTTTGGAGTATACACTAAACACTGAATGAACCAAACTAAATAACTATGAAAAATACTTTCCCAAATATCAAGTTTTAATGAGCTCATCTTCTGATAACAAATAAATAGTGAAATGCACAAAGTATGAAGTAAAGAAATATCCTGTTGGTTACAGTAAAGCCCCGGTTACACGCAATGATAAATTGTATCAGATTCGTCGTATGAGAAAACTGTCCGTTTTATTGAACTATGTTGTTTGTTTACACGTTCCAATCTATTGTCTAGGTTTCTTTCAATCGATGAGATTCCTCGTCATAAGCCACCATGTCTCTTTGCAATGACCGTGATTTGCCTGCACTCTATGTGAATTTGAGCTCTGGACCTAATGAATGAAAGTCGAACACTGTACCACTAGATCACGAGAGCCCCCCCCCCCTCCCCTGCGCATTTTGATATAGCAGAACAGTGTCTTTAGAAAAAGGTGGCCATACTGTACAGTGATGTGTGTAGAAGTAGAAGCTTTGATTTGACTGCAGATGTGCAACGCACAGCTTCAACATTGACAATAAACTAAATAATGAAATTGCTAAAATATACATAATAACGCACCAAATCAGGTTCTTCGCGAACAACTTTGCTTCATTATGAGAAGCTGATTCCGAATATAAAATCCATTTCTACCTCCAATAAATATTTTTTAAACATTTGAGCCCTGAGTTTATTTCTGAACGGCAGCAAATTTCAAAGTGAACCTACGTCACAGCGCGTCTCCTTCGAATCTGACTGATCGCACTGAAAATATCAAGCAGCGCTTGATTTCTCAACCAAGTCTCCAAACCATCGCTCAATCATCCAAATTTGTACAATTTTGTGGTTACACCTAACGATTTATCATATGATCGCAAGATCGTCCAGTTTTTGTACAATTTATCGTTACGTGTAACCGGGGCTTTAGCCTTGTTATGACACAGCCATGAAATGTTCCCCTCCCAAGGCAGAGTGGCGTATCTGACAAAATCTTTAGTTTTATTGGACTGTTACACTAGTCTTGTCTAGCTTATGTCCTTCTTGTGTTAAAGGTAGGATGATACATCCGATTCCAAAATAGAAGCTTTCAAAGTGGTAAAACCACTTAAGTGATTAATCTTTATAACAAGCATCAAAAGTTTTTCGTATTTTTCTCAGAATCGTGAAATATGCTGTATCATCGCTCTGCCTTTGAACTGAATTATTCATTCTTAGACAGAGCTTCCCTGCTAGGCATGCACATTACTTAATCACTGCTTAGGGGCTAATGACAGACCAAGTCATTTCCAGACTCCCCTGCAAACTTGCCATGTGATAATATATCATACGACTCCATTACAGCTTTTATACACTAGGTGCTGTTACAATTCCTGTCTTCTGCCAACAATTAATGGTGTTGCAGATGATATTGAGAGATAAAGAAATTGTAACAGGGCAATCAAGGATCGAAGAGTGCACAAACGTGTGCCTATGTTGGAAAGTAACAGGGTGTGCAAATGTGTTCTCTTCTGCAACATTGACAGTTTGTGTGTTGTCACAGTCCATGTTAATGAGCCTTTGTATTCATTATCTATCTGTACAAGTGTAAAAATACCAGGAGTAGAGCAGCACAGAGGTCTGAGACCACGTCTGTGATAGAGAGTGAGTGGTGACGTATGAAAAGTATAATCGTAAAGGATATTAACTTTCTGAATCATAAAATGACACCACCACTGAGTGTGGTTCTCCCTTCCAAACAGCATCAGAAAATATGGATCTATTCTTATTGTTGGCAACATTCTCAAGCAAAAAGAAGCACAGACCACAATCTCTTTCCCGGCTTCAGTAAAAGAACGAATCTGGGTGAGAATAAGCATTTATACATATCAAGCATAGCTCTGCATAGAATTTACTTATCGATGTGGGATTACGAGAATAGTTTCTCAGATTGTGCACTTCACTATTGCTTTGAAAGACAAAGGACACAAAAATACAGCAACATTTTATGAATTCAAATATAAATTGACATAAGAGTATGTTCCAAAAAGGAAACATTCACACATTAAATCAGCATATATATCATTTGAGCTTTAATTTCGAGAATCTTCCTCAAAAAAGGGATGCATTAAACTAAGCATAAATACAATATTGTTAGAAGCTTCTGAAAGCTTATGCAAATTTCATCTTCAATTTCTCCATAAAGCGAAGGAATGAATAGGATAAACATCAATAGAAACTCCTTTCAACAGATCAGAAGAACATAATCAAAGGAGATAAACAAAATTTCAAATACAATTGCATTAAAATCTCTGAGTATAATTAGCAAGCAGAGGTAGGAATTAGTTTAAAATCACAAAGTGAGTGCAGATTATTAAAATATTTGCTTCCAGATTTATATACATACTATACTATACCTTGTACAAAAAATATACTCCAAAGTTTTTATTGCAATTTACTTTGTATTTTCCGACCAACAGTGTTACCTACAACATTATGCTGTTTTTTATCCATCTGTTTGTCTTCTTCTTCCCCACTGGTTCACAGAATTTTCTTTAATTCGAACCAATGGCTGATCCAAGACTCCGACAAATGCTATTATTATGCAATTTGTTGTTTGTTGGAGTTTTGAATCCAGCCATCGAAATGCATTAATGCACAATCAACCATACTTTTTTGAGGTTCTCTGTCTAGTTCCCCATCATTGGTTTATATTGGCCTCTGTATTATTAGAGTTTGAGTACACATACATGTGTATTTTTTCTTTTCTTTTTGCATATATTTCAATTCCACTTGAACTTTCTGTCCGATGGTTTTCTCACCAGCAAAATGACCATGTCCATTACGTTGGTCCCAGTTATGTTTGTCCACACCAAATTCTGGCCCTCGTTCACTGTGCTGAAGAACGTATTGCTGTCGTTGTTAGCCAAATACGCCTCCATGCTGAGTCCACTTTCCAGTGTCCGGTCCACTAAGTCCTGGTCCACCACAGCACCAGCCACAGGACTCTGTCCATCATAGCCATCCGAGTCACAACTCAGCACACACATGTCCGTCTCTGACTGGAAACACTCCTCACCTCGAAACGCTTCTTTCATCTGTATGGCAGCTGCAAGTGCCGTCTCCTGGTTCTTGCCGCCGGTTCCGGTGCCCTCCACATGGACTACCGTTTCCCCGCTAGCAATGACACAGATGTCTTTGTTCAGATTATGTGCAGTGTCAACTTCATCAGCAATGTGGTTTATTGATTGCTTCCTCAGTCCACCTGCCACCAACTCCAGCTCCAACTGAGTTAGTTCTGTATTTGGTTGCTGTGAAGCTTTCCGGTCAAAGCACATCATGATGTACTCACCAAGTCGGGCATACAGCTTACCCACCTCTCTGGCCTCCCCAACCAAAAACTTTGTCAGAATGACCGGACGATATCCCATCTGTGCCGCTTTCTCTGCGGCCGCCTCACAGGCAATAGAATTGTTGCCTACAACAATATTCTGCAAGCCCTTCCATATTTCTCTAACTTGTGGTGTTCCATTGTTTGACATTGTGACTTGCTTGTCTTGGGTAGTTCTGTTCTGCTGTTTTGCTTCTCTCTCCAGGTATCTGCGAACGCTTTCCGGTGTGCGGCTCAAAAGGTTAAGACGCTGCAGTATCTCCAGGCAGTGACTCGGAGTTGGTTGTGTCGGGTAGGTGGGTCCGCTGGCGATCAGGTCAATAGGGTCACCAATGATAGAAGACAAGATAAGGGAAACAACCTGCAACAGAAGATAGTTGTTAGTTTTAATAAGCGTTTTACCGCACTTGCAATACAATTAAGTCATTTAAGTGCCAAAGATTACTGGTGTTACAAGAATGTTAACATGCATAAAAAACACAAGGAGGAGAGATAAGAACAATAGATGTTTGATAGGAAAGAAGGAGCAAACCACACTAGAGCAGATGCCAACCACCCACAATAGAAGGTTATTTTCAGATTCAACACCAAAGAATCTAAATTACAGAGATGCAATTTTGTTCTAGTTGCGATGAAATACCCAACCAGACACAAAATTAGTAATTGTGAATACAGAGGTCTTAATTCCTCAAAATGATTCAGGGCATAGAGGACATTTAGAAAAAAAGGACAAGTTGTATGTTGTCTGTATTCAGGCTGAAAACTTAAACATCAGCATGCCTGTCAAGCTCAATATGATATCCCTGCAACTGCCAGCTTAATATGGGGACTTCTAAGTTACTCTCAGAAAAACCCACATACAGAATAACACGAATAGCTTGAATTCATCGGGACCAGCCTCTGAGGTTATCTTATAAAGACAAAGAAGAAAAAACTCGGGACCGCACGCACAGTTCAATGGATACGTGATTTCGAGTCTTCTGTGTTCGACTTATCTGTGCTACACTGTATATTTACTTTTTAACTGGATCATATACCCAGCCTTCAACACTGAGAAACAATAGATTCACACTATCAAAATAATTTTAGAGGGACAATTTCACTTATTTTTTATAAATTCCATGAAAAAAACACACCAACCAACCTCACATTCATAAGGCAAATTAATTTAATATTGGAAATACACATAGAAAAAAACACTGTACTGTTCATCCCCTTTCTTATGTATGACACCCTAATAAAACAAAAAACAAAGCATCCAAACTTCTGTTATTTGTCTACTGACTACATCTACCCGTAAATACGCTGAGACATGCGTTCAGAGAACAGAAAAGTAATAATATGGAAGTCATGATCAGGCGTGAGCTTGGGTCCATAGGCATGACAAAGGGCAACAGATCATGAATAAATCTTGACATTTAACTTACTTTACTTTTACTAGCCAGTATAACCTTGCGGTATCAAGGGGAGATGCAAACGTCTTTCTCTTGTTTGTTGTATCGCCTGTTGCATGGTTATATTGTTTTTCACTAATGTTTCTCTGACTCCTTATAGCCATCTTTTCCTGGGCCTGCCCCTTCCTCTGTTTCCGTCCAAATTTTTCCCTGTATGCTCTCGCAGTTGTATTGTCTGATGGTAGTCTTGTTAGCTGCCCAAACCAGTTATTTCAGTGTTTGTCTATGTATTGTGAGTGGGGAGTGGAGACAACGTGTTCTCTGATGGTTTCATTTCTCATTCAGTCTCCTCTTGTGATGTTTAAAGTTTTTCTACGGCATTTCATTTCACAGGTGTTGATTTTGCTTTTGTGACAATCAATGCATAGCTTAAAACAGAGTGCACTTATAGTTTATGGGATAGAAGGAAATATGTTTCAATATCTTTGTGAAAAACAGGCAAACTTAACTCCAAAGTATTGCAAAGAGACAGATAGCAGATATCCCTCAACTGAATATACTGGCTCTTTCCCCATTGATAAAGTTTACTCTTTGGATTTTTATATTCGTCTACCTCAAACAACAAACAGAATATGGACTTTCATTTCCAGGACATTTGTTATTGTTCCCCTACATACCAAAAGAACGAACCAGCCTACCTTAGCAGGTCGAGCTTGCAGGGCAAGTCCGCCTCCCTTAAGGATTTCCAGATTTTTCCTTATGGTGTTCATATCTTGAACAGTGGCCCCGTTCCAAGCCAGAAGTCGGGTGACAGTGAGTAGCTCCTGGAGTGAGATGGCGGGGGGAGGGGATGGACACAGGGTAGACCCACCACCTGTAGAGAACATTTAAGTTTGTGATTTGTGCCCTTTTCAACACAATTTTGGAAATTGTAAAGACAACACATTTTGATCAACATCCATTGATGACTAAATGAGGGCAAAAGAATCAATTAAACTGGACACAGAAATGGATTTTGACTCGTGCCATATAACATTCAGTCCCTTACCATTTGAGCTACAGTATACACTAACAAAAAGGAACAATTACCCTGATGTTCTTATAAAATATAAAACTTTGGAATCATCCCCTTCCTTCCTGAGAAAACCGATGTTGATGAAATTAAAGCTCTCCTTAACCCCTTGACTACCCTGTAAATGTATCTCATACAACTCGATAATCCACCGCCCAGTGCTGTGTAAACATATTTTGTTTGGCGGCTAAAATCTGTGGTTTATGGATTGTTCTATGCAGGTCTTGTCAATGGATGAATTTGGCTCTTTGTTTCTCTTTCTATTCACATAGTTTTACGATCTGTCTCTTATAACAAGCGAACAATCATTGATTAAAGATTGTGACAAGTGGTGTCTCGCGCCAGTTGAAATTTTCCTTAGCATGTGAGGTGCATAGCAGTCAAGGGGTTACACATAATGAAATGTAAATTATTTCAAGAACACAGCACTTGTTCTTCAGTAAAATTACCTACAAGTTTGGTTTTGTACAGCTATGGGGCCATTCACAATAACAGTAAGGTACATTTATTGCAGATGTGCACTACCACAAAGACACTAAAACATGGCATCTATACAATCACAGGAACTAATTCTTTTAAGGGGAGGGGCGACCCTTGAGTTTGCAGATTTTGGGTCAGGCTATGCACATTTTATGTAGGCTGATTTTTTTAAGATCAACCCGGTTTTTTGTCCAAAAATAGCATGGATACAATTGAGAAAGTCTTTATTCTCCTAGTAAATTGCCTTTGAAAACATGAGGATGGATTAATACAGTGAATTTTCACAATTATTGTCGTTTTTAGCAAAAATGAATTTTTTTGGTGCAGTTCTTTCCCTACTCCTTCCTTAGTTTTCATCTTTTTGACATGAAACTTTCAAGAAACATAGATAACAAGGCTGCAATCAATGTAACAGAAAGATATTTGCAAAATAAAATCACACTTTTCCATTAGTAAGTGATTATGCAACCTACATTTCGAAAAAGTTTTTTATACTTTGGGAAAATTCTCATATTTTTTTTCTTTTGCACTTATTGAAAAAAAACAAGCCGTTACTCTGATGGGGTCTGGTTTCGGTATACCATCACCAAATTTGGTCAAATTTGGTCTGTAAATAAGAAAGCCGTAGGGATTTAAAATTCATTGTTTATTTTCAAGATGGTGGCCATTTCCATAGCAACCGCTGTAGCTATGCCAAAATAAAATTGTGTATCAAAAGATTTCACTATGTCTAACTTATATGTGTACTTAGATTTGATCTCGGGCAACAAACATAGAAAATGTCCTCAAGGGTAGCTCCTCCCGTTAATGAGAACAGGCCTACTGTAAGGCCAGTTTACCCAATGGAAAGCAATTATGTGGGATTCAGGGAGGGATATGTGTCAGATACACAAAATTAACTGAAAACCTTTTATCCTATCCAAGACTCTTTAATTTTCTCAATGTACACCATAAAACATTTTATGAGTTCTTTGTTGTTGTTTTTTTTTACATATTCACATCAGTGTCTATGGTGCAACATTGGTAAAGCTCTTCTCTGTTGCATACAAGAGACATGAGTTCACTTTCAAAGTGATAAAGTTTTTAACTGAGTATCTCTGTTTCCTTTCCGGAAAAGGCAGACATTACAATTACACTTCACTTTCCTCAAGCTATTGCCTTTTAAATAAAAAATAAATTATCAGTTGGTCATACTCTTTATGGTGAGACCAGTTTTTAGAATGAAAGATCAAATACAGCAAAACTCTGCAACTTCTTAAAAATCAACCATCTTGTTCTATTTCAAATAGAGGCTATCTTAACATTGAACAACAAATTTATGCAAAATTGATATTGCCAAATACACCCAGGGAAGAAGGTAGCTATTAAAATTGTACGCTTCAGGTGTTCACCATTTCTCTCTTTACAAAGCTCCAGTACACCACTGAAAATTTTGAATAATCCTGTGGCATGTTTCTTGTCCGATTCTTTGGACCTCCTGTTCAAAACTGACTTTCAATTATTAATGGATTGTTTTAGTAAACTATGTATGACAAAAACCAAAAAAACCCTCAAAGGAAATAACTGAAGTGGTTCATGCAAGAATACTAGTTTTTGATAAAGGCAGAAAAGCAGAAAATATAATCATTTTCAACTGAACAAAATTTGGAGACAAGAGGATGGAGCTAGTTAAAACCATGGAGCAACCTCTTACATTTTGATCTAAAAGACGTTAAAATAAGTCAAAAAGAAATATAACCTGAGCACAAAACGACAAGCAAGTCCTTCTCCGTGAGCTTGTTCACTAAGCTGAGAATGGCTTTGCTGGCATTGTGAGAGGCTTCATCCACTTCATTGTTGTCAGCACCCTCATACACCAAAATCTTAGTATTCGGAGACAGCATCATCTCCCTGTTGAAGAAACAAAATGCACTGTAAGCCTCAAGACTTCTTTAGTAAAGAAAATGTTAATTGAACTACTTTCACACATTTTGGACACACAACTAGAATTGACAAAGACACAGCCTCAAAACACTATACAACTTTGTCATGACATGTGGACAAAAGATTTAGAAATATTAGAGATGGTATTACCGTATCAAAACAAGGTTCTTAAAAATATATTCTACTGCTTTTCACTTTATCGAAAATTTTTAAAAATTATTTTCTAAAAATAATCTCCTAAAAAAGTTATCTAATAAAGGGCTCACTGACAAGACAGGTTCTGCAAACATGACCTAAAAGAGAGGACAACACAAAAGATAAGAGTTTAACGACTACACACATCTGTAAAAAAAATCCCCTAAAACATACAGCAAACAGTCAACTCTTTGATTGGGAAAAGATCCAAAGAATTAAGGCTTTCTATCTGCATCCACTCAAATTCACACAACAGATTTCTTTTGCAATTATAATTGATCTATTCTATCAAGAGGACCCCTTTATAATCACCACTAGAGAGAAAATAGTATGATATTTCTTGATAGACACCTAGGTTCCATACCTGTTGTTGGTGTGGATCATCTCCTCCTGCAAGCCCCTTGGGATACTGATGATGCCAGTGACTATGTGGTCCCCAAGCACATCCTCCACAGCTTTGGCCATTCCCAGCACAGCTTTCCCCATGCCCACCACAAACACATTTCGATGCAGGTGGTACGTCTCCTGCTGCACACGCAAAACGGAGGTAGCGCGGTTGAAGTGAAGCACACCCTCTATCATCTGCTGTGGGTGCACCGACTTGATGCTGTATTTGAACATTTTCTCGGCATCTGATTTCAAATTAGCATGTGCCTGTCGCTCAGTATCCTCTACAACAGATGTCTCATACCATAGAGAGCGAGAATAAGACACATTTCTCTTGAAAATGCCCACCGCACAATAAGGCAACACGTTTTTGCGTCTCGCTATTTGTTGCATCAGGTGCACGGCGTGGGTTGAAATAAACCGAGCTCCCGAGACACTGAAGGGGCTCAACATTCTCAGGTGCTGTACAATCGACATGGCTGTCACTATCAGGCTGATGTACCTCTAGTTTATCTTGTAATGAGGATCTCCTGTTGCCTTTTCCCCGCTCCTTTTATCTCAAGAATTGTAACTGAGGAACAGAAAATAGTATCATATTATTAAAGTAAATGAAAATAAAAATTTTTGAGGAGATTCTTCATTTCACGAGTTTTCACTAAAGAATTTAGTAAAAAGTACTTAGACTTTTTTTTCGAAAACAAACAGAACTCACTCTGACTTGGTTCACACTCAGTAAAAACAAAAAAACCCCTAGTAAATCACTCATATTTGACATTTGAAACAAAACTATTTTCTTTACTATTTCTTACCCTAAAATTGAAACTGTAACACAAAACAAAGAGCAAAGTAAATATGACAGGAGACTATTAAAAATTATGTGTAAAAATAAACTATGCATTTAAATTCAAGATTTTAAAAAGCATGATATGGTAGATATCAAAGACACAATCACATTAATGTGAATTTTTTTTTTCAGTTACATGAAGGGCTTCCATAATAATATCCACATACTTACAAGCTACAAACTTATTCAATTACCTTTTCACACACAGCAGCCCTGGGTTGGTTTCTTAGACAACTGCCCTTTTATCAGTGTGGAAACTCAAACGCAATCAATATACTTCTTAACAAAATATCCAGTTAATCCTGCCCAAAACAGAAATTCAAGGAGGAAAAAAAAAACATTGGCACATTTTCAAAAGTACTTAAACCATAAGCAGAGCACATTAATATAATGCTAAATTATAAAAGATGAGAAGTCTAAAACCGGCTTGGTCATAAAATGGAAAACATGAGAAATTAATTCTATGGTAGACTCGACGGTTGGTTTGTTTTTCTGTTTTATTTCCCATTCAGCTAACAAAAATAGTACAACAACAGTCAAACTTTAACGAAGTTATTCGAGTCTACTCTTTAAATATTTGTCATAACAATTTCCAATTCGAGACCCTGCTCGTTTTTACCATCCACTCCTCATATCGTACAGTAGAAGTTTAAGTATTGCAATTCGGGGTTTTGGTGAAAATAATTTTTTAAAAAATATTCCATGGCACTAAGAAGGACCGCATGCCTTGTAAAAACTTCAAAGTTGCGTGATTATTTTGATAAAACACCTTTTAAATTGAAATTCCTGACGTAAAATTTGAAAAATCAGAGTTACAATAATTGCGCTGCTACCCCCACGAGAGTGTGAGAGAGAGAAAAGGAGAGAGAGAAAAAAGGAGAGAGAAAGAAAAGGAGAGAGAGAGAGAGACAGTCCAACATAGATTTCATAATTCAGCAAATATCAACTAATCCTGAGGCCTATATCATGTTTACTGATCACTCTAAAAGTTAATTCAATAAATATGTGAAGAACAGAAATCTTCATTTTCCAAAAAAAACCAAGAATTGAATGTTGTGTTTCATTGCGAAACTGCTCCTATACACAAACCAAGGTACTGCAATCACAATTAATGACTCAATATGTAAAACAGCAAGAAGGACTCTTTTACCACTATTTATTTATAAGCCAATTGTATCATTTTATGCAAAAACGTCTGGCACACTTATATTGTCTCCCTGGTTCAATCAACCCTCAGCAACATTCACCACAGTATGTAGCATTCATTAGTTTTCTTGCAGAAATGATATAATGTTCGCATTTTGTGAGGAAAATTACTTGGAAGCCAACAGACAAGATTTTGAGACAGTTCGTCCGGACATGCCAAGCTATGTTCAGACTTAAGATAGTGGGCATGCGATATATGCTAAATAAGCTGTACTGTATAGGCCTATATATTATCATACTAAATAAAAAAAAGCAACAGAGGCCTTGGAACTATTAGAAAGCTCACTAAGGATGAGGGCAAACGATGAAAGGGGTGTAATGTCATATGTACATTCATGATCCTTTAAAACGAAATTAAGTGCTGTCTCATACAGCATCCCTGAAACAGCTGACACAATTCTGCAATGATGAAAACGTGAAAGTAACGCAGCAGATTTGTTGAATTCGCGAAATACAGTATGATTCAATAATCTGATTTTCCTGATAACTAGATCTAGATTATCTAGATTCTATCGTTTTCTGTAATTCAACACTGCTAGCTTTACTAACTTGAATCCAGATCTATCATTTTGTATTTAAAAATTCACCAGCAAAATCATTAGAATACATATTTTGTGACTTATTTATTTGCTAGGCCTACCCCGGGAAACTACAGTCAATCTAACAGGGACACACCATAATTATGTTTGTTTTGTTTGACTGCGACCTACGCTGCTAGCTCTTCCAGAAGTTCTGCTGTCGCTCAATACTGACAATACAAACATAGGCCGACTAGATATCAAGGAGGCTTATAAACTTAGGAAGTGTCTATTTGCAACATCGCATTGCCATTAGCACCAGTGCTAAATAAAACGCTGCGTTGCGATTAGCACCAGTGCTAAATAAAACACCGTGTCGCCTTGTGTAAAATATCAAGCTTAATCTGCACATCGTTATCGGAAGTTCTGATGGCCGAAGTGACAGTGCATCTGCGCTTGAAGTCAAACCATTATTTTTTTAGCGTGGGTTCGATCCCGGTCCCGGACGTGTTTTTTTTCTTTGTTTTTTTGTTGTTGTTGTCCTCTTCTCCACTGACCAACAAATTGTTCCCATAGATCTAATTATATCTTGTTGCTTTGTAGTTGTTTTTTTTACGTAGTGATGAAGCATGCACATTCTGGTTTTGTCCCCAAGAGGAGCTCTGTACAAAGTAGGCCTTAGTATAGCCTACTTTTCCTTTTACCAATTTAGGCCTGGTTAAAGTTCAGTAGTGGCTTTCCTTGGTCTGTGAGTCAAATTTTTTTTTTTTTAAATTTTAAGCTCAGGAGAAGGAAAAAAAAACACTTTCGGGACCGGGATTCGATGCCACGCTTGGAAGCACTGAACATTAGACTTAGAGAATGTAGACAGTAGACAGCTTGTATACGTTCTCTAGGCCTAGCTTAAAGTTCGAGCTGCACCGTCTTGTTATTGTTATCCAAGCCCAAGCGTCTTTCGACTTAAACTTAAACTTGCTCAAATTCTAACTCAGATGATTATGATTATGAGAGATGAATAAGACGTGTCTACTTTTGTGCAAACAATGTCAGAAACAATTGTTAGATCTAAAATCTAATCTAGATCTAGGCCTAGATTTTTCGGCGCTTTTTCGGTAGTTCCCACCCCGCAATTTTATTCACGGGTTTGGGCCACAAGAGTAGGGGGATTTCAGGGGGGGTTGCCCCCCTGACCTAATAAAAATAGGAAGGGGGGTTTCAGGGGGGGCATGCCCCCCTGAATTTTACCATAATTTAATGTTTTGCAGTTGTTAGGTTTGATAACTTAGCTCACCGCGAATCAAACATGTATAGATCTAGATCTAGATGTAGGTCAGGCTCAAATAAGGGGGGTGGGAACTACCGAAAAAGCACCGATTTTTCTAGATCTAGATCTAGATCATCTAGATTTAGATCTATAGATCTACCCAATGTTGATCGGAATAAGACGTCATAAAAAAAGGAGTCAAATCCTTGGAGGTTTATAAAAAAACTGAGAAAGCTTCCACAATTCAGGCAGAAACAATATCATCATGTAGAAACGATGGCTGCTAGATCTAGATCTAGAATCTAGATCTACATCTAGATCTAGATCTAGATATAGAATCTAGATCTAGATCTAGATTAGAGTCTAGATCTAGAGATTAAGATCTTGTTGACTGCAGTAGTTCGAACAGTAGCCCTATGCTAATTTAGTAATTAAAAAATAAAATGTTTACATACGCAATTAGAATCTAGGCCTATGGTGTGCTTTCTGCGACTTGCCAGCAGTCCAGCAGCTCGTGTTTTGTTCGCTCTCAGTTGTACCGTTCGTTTGGGTCAACTTGGGGTCAAGGCGAACTTGCAACCAGTATCCATCGATATATAAATTACAAAAGATTTCCAATATTAGTGGACTGGGAAATCTCAAAATGGAGCAAAGTAAGAGAATCGGGAAGACTTGCGGGTTAAAGTAGTCAGGGAGGTCATGTATCATTGTTACATACTAAGTTGAATGGTCACAGATGATTTTTTAAAAATGTCTTTGAAATTCACTGTTGATATAACAGTTAGATCGATTTCAGCTTTTGCTTTTTGTTCTTTGGTTTCAATTTATAATACGGCCTTATACTGCAGTGGACATTATAACTATAACAGCATATATGTCCCTGTTTCATTTTTTAACTACAGATGTTTTCATTTATTTCTACCGCAGTGTAGGCATATATAGGTCTTATAACGACAGACCTAGGCTATTTCCAAACTAACAAAAGCCTCCCCCCCCCCCCCAATATTTAATTTTTAATAAATGTTTGTTTTTTTAAATAGTCGTACCAGCAATGATACTATGAAAGAAAAGACGACAACTTTCTTTAAAGCCTTACAATTTTTTTATGTTCAAAGCCAGGCACTAAGGTATACTTGAACGGGTATGCACAATAATACACAACTCCATATATATAGTCTGTTTTAATGATCTGCAATATTTTTCTTCTGTATACCCCTCTATGGTGTTAGGGCTCAGATGATTTAACCTAGATCTTTAAAAAAATCCTCTCTTGGTGTAGCACGTTAGGTTATGTACTTAATAATGGCCATTTTATCTACACAGAATCTAGAATCATCCCTTGGCTGTCAGAGACATGCTTCTATATAATACATTAATCTAGCTCGCATTGGTTTCAGCATTTCTTATTCGTGAAGCCCGACAAACTATTTCTTTTAAAGCCCGTATTAGTGATGCCTCATGCCTAGACTGTGTTTGCTGCTCTCCATAATGAAGTCCTTCAGTCATATCTTTCCAATGGTGTCTTAGTTGTAGCACTTTTTGGTAAGCTAGTTTCTATGCTTTCGTGAGGGCAGCTCATAGAAGAATTACGTAGGCCTATACTGCCTTTGCGATTCTGAAATCAAGCATTCTTACGGGACATGGCAAGCCCAGCAAAGCTGAGTCCTTTATTTGAGCTTAAAAACAGCACTCTCGACATTTGCCCTTTTAAGAGCTTATAAAGGTCCTGCATGTCTGGTATTTCATCCTGCTCTTTGATGCCATTAAGAATCCTAGGCTCCAGTGAGGCCTTTCACATAATAATAATCAAAGCTTTTTCTTGGCATGGCTTTGGTACCTTGTCCTGGTTTCTGCATCGTATATGGTTAGGACTTCAGTAATAATGAATCATATTATATATGATAGGCTGATGATAATTACAAGAGAAATGATAATATTGTAAGAGCCTAATAATAATAATAATAATAATAATAATAATAATAATAATAATAATAATAATAATAATAATAATAATAATAATAATTTTAAAAAATAAATTCATCATTTTCACCATCGTCATCATGTCACCAAAACATTATCAAATTTTTCATAATAATCTAATAGGCGTTAAAATTCTCATCCTTTTATAAAGTTTAGATCAGTTTATAGCTTGATCAAATTTAGTATTAAAAAAAAAGAAAACCCAAGCCTCTTTCAGATTTGCTTTATTTTTGGTGAAGTTTTCTGGGAAAGTGCTTTAAAATCTGTTTCGTAGTCAATCTACACCAAAGAACTGTCTGTTTGCCTGCCTACATTTCCTGTGTTTTTCTAAAGTGCTACGATTCGCCTCCCTTTGCATAGCATCTAGGTCGCTGCCAAATTGGTGCGTTTCGTGTCATGAAAATATTTTTTCGAAATGTTACTTCTCGACGAGGTTCATAATTGGTTCTTTAATTTATTACATTGGTGTTTCGACAAAATAAAATACTTATATGGCAGACAGAAATATATACGATGAAGCAACTTTTTCTGACTACTCCAAATAGTTAAAATATAATTTAGTGAAGAAATGAATGATTATTATTGATAATGCATTTTATCAAATGCTGTAAAAAGTGTTTACTGCTGGAACTATAGTGCAATGCAGCAATGAACGTGTTCGGATTATTTTGCCCTCAACAACATAACATTACGACGCTTTCTTTCCTGCGCTGAATTTTACTTCCTTTGTGACTTTGTGCTTTGTAGACTCAAACAAGTGTCTCTGGAAATAATGGTCACTTCATTGCTCCAACAGGAAACCGGTGAAAGTGTCATTGAGTTTGGAGTGGTCGACTGGTATTCATTTTTTTCATACACCCCCGAAATTGCCAAAATTAGCCAGCCTTCCTACCTTTCTCTGACTGAGGTGAGAAAAGCTGTTACTGTCACAAAATCTTGGGACAATTTTTACACAAGTAGGCCTAGAATCTGTTTTCTTTCTTTTATTGAATTGTGCAAGGCAAATGGGCATTCTTCTCGAGAAGTTGTCCCGGCCTAATTCCTTAGAAATTTATACATAATAATTAGAGGTCTATCTAGAATCTATTTTATTAGAAGATTTAGTAATTTAGATTTAGATCTAGATATCTAGACTAGATCTAGATTAGATATCTAGATCTAGTCTATGTACACAATCGGAAACAAAAAACACATGCATGAAGTTACAGTGAGGTCCAATTATTAGGAGCTGGAGAATCGCCGAGGAAAGCAAAGCCCCTCGCGGCCGGAATGCGTGGTCGGCCGGTTCAAAAATTGACACACGTGCATTCAAATCCTTCGCGGAACGAGCGATGATTAGCGATGATTAAATACCGTCTTTTCATTGGCGGAGAACTGTAGAGCTCTAAACGGGCTTTCCCGTGGTATATATTTGGGCTTTGGCGTTTAAATAGAAAGATTTTAAAAATGCTGTCAAAATGTTTAAAGATCACTTTTTTACACAAAATATGTTAAATACCGGTTTAAAAAAGGTATTAAATTAATGAAAAGATTAGTTTGTTTTCTATTAGAATAAAGGGTAAATTTTTACTTTCCCTCCCGCACACAGATGCACTGTTTCAGGGGTCAAACTGCTGTACTGTTTGCTGCAGATCACACATAAAGCCACTAAAACTGTCGCAAAGCAATTATTTTCAAGACAATTTCAAATCTAACTGTAAAATATCAAACTATGGGTAAAAACAGGGGGGCATGCCTCCCTGTAACCCCCCAGATTTTCTTTTACCCCAGTGGGGCAGGCCCTCCTGGAACCCCCCGATTGGTCCAAAGCATGTCATGTCTATCTCGGTTAAAAAAAATCAAATATTTCACAAACTATTAATTTGCAACGGAAATGAAGTTGATATTCGTGTTCAGCGCATCAATATTTAGTACAAAATAGACAATTGGTAGCTGAGTGTGAGACGGGAGGGAAAGTAAAAAAATACTGAATAAAGTAATCAACTTGGAATTATTTAACATCAATCCTTCCGCGAGACTCGGAAAGCATCATGTGACCCCACACGCGGGGTACACTATACTATAGTATAAGCTGACTCGCTCGCCGCGGGGGCCGATGCGGCACTGGCCGGGTCAACGCTCTGTGTTTTTGTCGAAATAATGACAGATCATTGTGTTTGAAGTGATAAAATACTGATTTGTAATGATCCCACAGTCTTGAAAAAAATTAGGCTCCATATATTTGTTATAGTGATTGTACTCTGTTAATGTGGAGATGTTTAGTGCACTTGGTACTCTTTTATTGTCTGTCAAACATGGGGTTGCAGCCAGTGACTGACTTTTAAAACAAATTTGATCAAATTTTAAACAACTGCCATTTTCTTAAAAATTGACTGAGAGGTTAAAGAATGGTACCAAAATGCTCAGTGGATATAGGCCTTTCAAATGGAACAGATAAATTTGGCATACAGCTACTTTGAAAATTTAGTTTCTGGTACCTATGAATACGCTCTATAAACGTCGGGAACAGAAAGCCTAAGAGGAAACTGTTGGTGATAGTCATAGCGACGACGGACCAGCCTCGTGGCTTTCCAAGCGACCACCTCCGACCGTAAATTCATGCAGAATCATCCTCGAGAAACATTTTCTCTTGTGATTCATTGAACAAGCACATTATAAGTTCTTCGAGCGCAGCTTATTAGGCTTATTTGGCTAATCTTTAATCCAATAGAGGCCTGTCTAATGTTTTACGGCATTTACGCATGTCGCGCATCAGGCCTTGATGTAACTAAACATTGCTTCATTGCACGCAGTCACTCAAACTCAAACACCAGTCAAAAACCTTCTATCAGATATACATTTCCAGTGACCAATCAAAAAACCTTTCAGTCCTCCCCCCCCCCCCCAAACACACACACACACATTTAACCGACCAGCCCAAGACCGAGACCTGTGTGTCAGTGGAAAGTATGGTGTGTAAACGCTGTCCATCACTCTCTTTGTACGGCGTGAGGGGTACTCTCACCAAATATCCGGTTTTCTAAAAAATTCTAGGCTTGTCTTATGCAGGCTGTGCAGGTTGTAGTGGAAATTTCCCCTTGCCAAACTTAAATTGTCGCCGTGTTTCGCGGATCGGAGCGTGCGTTTAGAGGGAGTGACCGTGCGTTTGTACGTCTAAATTCTATAGTAAAAAACCCGTCAGATGATGAAAGTGTGCGTTTGAGCGGAGTGTGTTTTTGTATGGCGTGCGTTTAGGTGGGGACTACTGTACGGAGAAATAGTGGATTAATGACTTTCCAACAATGTCTGCTTGTGATGCTTGAAATTCCCATCCCTCCTTCCCTTTGACCAGCAATGACAATGAAAAATTAAATTTTTATCCAAATTGCTTAAAAACAGGCTTAAATGAAAATAGAGTAAATTATAAGAACTGTGGTTTTTAATTTTAAAAATCCATTGATCAATAAAAAAGTTATTGGGATTTTTGTATACAAAATTTTGAGGGACTTTCATAGAGGAAAATATCGCCAAAAGGTGGGACATGTCTTGAGGTATTTTGAGGGAAAACTGTTTGTAAGTCAGTAATGAATTTGAGTAAATAAATGAAACTTGGTATCTTCATGTAATTTTTAGTGCAGAATCTAATGCTGCCATAACTTTTTAGATGTCTTTATTACTTTGAATCTTAAAGACTAATATTTGCGTGACATCGTTTTTACTGCGACCGATCACCCCTTCTAAAACACAGTAAAGCAACAAACTGGTATAGGGAAAACCCGCAGTGAAGTCATCGGTGGCCTATTTAGTTTGACACATGCCGCCTAGCGATCACGCGCCTCTCGCATGGCGGCAACTCGCGTTTTGAATCCGTTACTTGTAACATGAAGAAGAAGTTTTAAGATTATAGGACATGGTCAAACCAATCTATCACATGATATTCTATTTGCCGGCACTCTTCGGGAGAAGTGGTCCCGGCTTAACTCCATAGATATTTATACACAAAATTGGAAACAAAAATGGAAGTTGAGAGTAAAAAAGCTGGCTGAGTTGCCTGGAAGAAAAGGCCTCCGATAAATTTATAGAAAAGGTCCAAACCCATTTTAGACTATTTTTCAGCACTATTTTACCATTTTTTTGTGTGTTGAGAACGATTTTGACTGTCACAAACCATATATATTTCTGAAGGGTCTGTTGAAAGTGACGATCGTTTTTTAAATCTTACAAGTTTGTGGCTATTTTGGGACATATCATCAATTTACATCAAATTTTCACGTCTCATTGACATCTAGCCAAGCATGCGTGGTTGCATGTAGATCTACCACTACTTGACCATTGGAACGCAGTGTGATGTTAACTATTACTTGGTTTAAATTTCCTAACATAACATGTTTAGATTTGATGAGGACATAAGAAAACTTAAATGAATTCGTCTCGTTCATCGTTATTCTTCTCGCCGTCTTACCTCGCACAATAATAGGCTTTGAATGGATCGACAGGAACAATGCACGTTCCTCCACCCCTATTACTTCTCGTTTTCTGATTGGTTCTTTCGAACATAACAAATGACGACAGAGCATGAGGCGTCGCAGGATTTTCATTTTCTGCAAAATTACGTACGGTCACAGCCTCGGAATCAGTCAGGGTAGAGAGTAAACATTGAACGATATTATGCTCGTTCCATGGCCCCAAAATGGCCAATAGAAATAAAGTCATTGGGAATCGAAGTTGCCTTATGAAATGACTACAAGAGTTATGCTCGAAAATGAAAATCTAGTAGGCTCACAAAGAAAAAACTGCTATAGATATATCATTATTCCTGATATAGCACCACAAATAATGTAGTTATAGTAGTAAAAGTGTAGAAGGACGAGTTTCTCAGCAATTATTTCATTGTTGAACTTGACGACAGAAAAAGTACGAACTCGACGCGTCACGTTTTGCATTTTTAAAAATACGTAGATTTCAGAACTAAAAATAATTGTAAGATTTCCTCTGAAGGCCCGACTGCTATTTCTATGCTCCCATAGCTGAAACATCATATTAAGCACAACATATACAATTTTCAAAGCTGTAGCACCATTTTTATTGGAATAGGAAAGGGTTTTGTAAGGTATATATGAAGAAAACCCCACCTATTGGCAAAGGGTCATAATATATATATATGAATATATGAACTTACATATCTCATGCTAGGTGGGTAGGGTGTACAAGGTCACATCAGACAGGATTACATCTTCAAGACTGTGAACTCATTGCTGCTTTTTTTCCCTTTGACCATGGCACATGTGTTTCAGCTCTACGCCTGTTTTTAATAGACAGACGGGTGTTCATACTCGGTGAATGTCCAATCGTCTTTGCCTTATGTGGCCATCACATTTTGGCGGCTGTGAGCCTGGCTTTTGTTCTTTGAATTTTGATAGGTGCAGTCATAACACAAACATTGATATATATTACAACATGAGTGGGGAACTGTGTCAGAGATCATATAGAAAGCTATATTTTGGACAGGTTAAGGGGAGGAGCAATAGGAATAGGATCGACCTGGATTCTGAGACTCTCAATCGAATGTGAAAAATGCATACCTCATTTCTTCTTCTTCCTCGTTCTCAAATATACCTCATTAACTAAAGAAGATTGTGAAAATTGATGGCTCTCCATAAGTAATAAGCCAACCCAGGGCCAGTGGTCACTTCAGTTCATTTAAAAAGTCAGGGGATGTCATTGTACTGATTGTGAGCCTGAACATGAGTCACTGTAGATTCATCCCTCTGATAATTCGGGTAAGATCTACTGGCCGAAGATCCTACATTTTCCTTGCTTGTATGCATTGGGATCTTATATCATGTGGAGACTACTGTAATATTTCACATTAAAAGTGAAAAGTTGGAAGGAAGATGATGAAATAATTTTTTAATATATATTTTTTTAAACATGAATTTCAGATTTGAGTCAACATTGGAATGATGATGAGCTTCAAAAACTTGACGCCCTGCCTCTGCAGAGAATTTACTGCTCTTAGGCGACATCCCTGTGTAATGTTTAGAATGTATTCTAGTTTTAGGAACAAAAGAAGTATCGTCAACTTTATTGATAAGGCTGTGTCATTGAGGGGCTACAGACAGTTGTCTTTTAGTACTGTCAGAAATTATGAAGCTGTAAAATTAGAAGAAGACAGTGGCAGTATCAATTTAAAAAGTGATGCAACAGAAATCTTTAAGAGTGGAATTAAGGCTGTTCATCCCAAACAAATGATTTGGAATGTGTTGAAATATCAACCTGGTTCTTCAGTTCTTCATGTTAAAGATCAGACATTCAGACTGAAGCGTAATGTGTTTGTAGTGGGCATGGGCAGTTCAGTTCTGGGCATGGCACGGGCAGTGGAGAATATGCTAGGAGAGCACATTGTCTCTGGAGTTGTCAGCGTCCCCAGCGGATTGCAGGAAGAGATGCGGAAAACTGGTGACAGGTCAGCTGCTTCTGATTGATAAGCTGCTTCTTGATTCTCCTCAGTGTGGATAGAGCCAGCTTTGGTTTCTTTTTCCTCCTCCACCCAAAATCCTAATTTCTGCCTCAAGGCCTTATCAGTATTTCATTCCCCTATCTGATCTCTATTCCCTTGTCCAAACTCTTTACCACTTGCTGGATAGGCAATATTTGTAGACCTTCACCCATATTTATTTCTTTAGTCAAGTTTTTTGTCATCTGAATGTAATATATATCAAAATTTGCTGTCAATGAAATACCCACCTTCATGACCAGTCAGTGGTCATTATTTCATAAGAAACTCTCAATTTAAAGGTCTTGTCTTTTTATTTAAGTGACAAAATCAAGTTGCTAAGACTCAGTAATGTGATGTGGGTAAAGCAGCTTTGAATTGATTCTTGTTCTCATCTTGTTTAGAAAGTTTAATTAAATGACTGTCTGTTTTGACAAAAGTTGAACATGTATCTAGAGGTTTAAACTCTTCCAGTTCCAGTACTCTGAATTGTCCTGAAAATTGCACAAAACTCATCCCTATGCCCAAAAGTAAGTAAAGTAAATCTGTGCTGAGTAGTTCTAATTAATTTTTTTAAAATGAAGATGCTGAGAAGATCATTCAAAGTGGTGAATTAAACTTTTAGAATTTTATATGAAACAGATTTTGGATCCTTGATGTTGTAAAGTGCACACTGTGTTCTTTTTTGACACATGATGTAAAATTTCTTTTTAGTCACAGCTATGAAATATACAGAAACGGCTTTTACACCCTTACGACCACTTTTCAGTCCTATTTCCTCTCCCTCTCAATATTGTGTTTACGGTCTTTGCATTAGGTCAGTGATACATTCCTTCCTCTATTCATTCAACTGAATTCCATTCATAGTCTGTTGTGTTTTTTCTTAAAGCAGTGTACCACAGACTAAATCTGTGTATTCCATCACAACATAGAATTGACCAAAAGTATGTATAATATGATTAAAATCAAATGTCTGATTTGTTTTACAGTGAAATGATGCTGAGAGCAAATTCGAAAATAACTGTCTTTGAGGGAGCAGAGAATAATGAAGTGGATGAGGCAGCTCTGAATGCCAGCAAAGCCATACTCAGTCTTGTAACTCGTCTCTCGGAGAAAGACCTACTCATTGTCCTCTGTTCTGGTAAGTCTATGTAAATGAAAATTATCTGTTATCATAGTTTCAATTTTGTTACAGTACTTTTAAGTCTGTTAAGGATTGACAAATATTAAAAATAGTCTTTGATTGGTTCATTGCACGTTGTTATAGTAAGATTACTCAAGAGTAATAGCCCCAGACTGAACATGTGCTTCTGCCTAGTGGATGGAGAATCATGAACTTTATTTCTCGAAATAGGCTACCCAAATTTAATGTGTAAGAATGCCCCATTTGGGGTATCGAAACATGATTGATTGCCTCCACTAGTCCAGAGTAATACCAACTGGGCTGAATGTATACTCATACATTTGTGCAAAACAGCTGTGTACTCATATAAGTTGAGCTCTAAAACTTTCTAGGAAAATAAACTGAATTACTTTATGATGGAGGTAGAAGAATTATGCTGAAATGTTGTTGCTTCTCTTAAAGTTAATATTCAATTCTTCCAGAGCCTATGAGACCCATAGAATTGGAGTATGTTCAGATTTCCATAGATTGAATCAAAGGGTTATGTGTTGCTTCCAAGGTCAAAATGTAAGACTTACCGTTACTAGGATTTTTATCTGTCACTCTTAATAATTTCTTCAGCTATTCTACATATTCACCAATACCCCTTGTAGTCATACTGTTGTTTTGGTTCCAAGACAATAGAAATCAGATGTTTGATGCTGCCACCCAAAACAATTTGGAGACACTTTTAATCGGAATGTGACTGCCTGGGGGCAAGGTGCCCTTCAAAGAAAGGAAAATGAAAAATATGTAAAAATCAGTTGCTCTGCAGGTTACAAAACCAGCAGTCGACTACCCCTGAGGTCTAGCAGTGGAACACAAAGATGAGGAAGATACATGGTTTCAATTTTTTTTTCTCTTTCTGCTTCCTAGGAGGTGGTTCAGCATTGTGCCCTCTCCCTAAGCCACCGATGACTTTGCAGGATTTGCATACTGTAAGTCGACTGCTCAACCAAGAGGGTGCCAGTATGCAGGAGCTGAATACAGTCCTCAAGAACTTAGAGATTCTCAAAGGTGGAGGCCTGGCAATGGCGGCTCAGCCAGCTAAGGTAAAAGAAAAAAAAAGATTGTACATCTTAAGGCTATTGACAGAATGCAGGCTTTTTTTGTCCTCATATTTTATCAAAATGCAGTTGAACCTGCTCTAACGGCCATCTATTCAAGACAATCACCTGTACAAACAACCACATCCTACAGGCCCCCCACCCCCCCTTGCATGGCGTCTTGGACCATTTCAACTGTATTTTACTGGTAATTGTACTTTTCATATGGATAGGAAAGCCTTGCATTTTGTTTCAAGTGGGCTAGTGTATTTTTTGTCTCTTTATATTTAACACAGGTTAATTAAGACAAATCCTAATTATCTGGACTGGGCTGATAAATTTGAATTTTAAAGTTAATTGGCAGAGTGTGTGTGTTTTTGTGTGTTATTATTTGAGAGAGTTAAAGTTGGTCTTGATCTTTTAAAAGTTTGAAGAACCATGCCTTCAAGAAGATACATGATATGTATGTATTTTATTCTGAAAGCGAACTGCATTGTACTTTTTCAGGTTGTAACCTTGATCCTTTCGTCTATGGTCGGTGATCCCATCGATCTGATTGCCAGTGGCCCCACCTGCCTGGCTGAGCCCACCCCCATCCACAGCCTGCAGATTATACAGCGGCTTGGGCTGATACCTCAAGTCCCCGAGAGTGTCAAAAAGTATCTGGAGAGGGAAGCCAAACAGCAGCAAATTGACCAAGCCCAGGAAATTCATGGCCCAAGATTTAGGAGTGCGGAAGAGGAGGCCTTGTGCAGCAATGTCCAAAATATCATAGTGGGCAATAACTCTCTTGCCTGTGAGGAGGCTGCTCGAAAGGCATCTGAGATGGGTTATCTTCCTTTGATTTTGAGTAAAATTCTCACAGGTGAAGCCCAAGAGGTTGGTGCGCTCTGTGCCACTCTGGTGAAGTTCATTATGATCTGTTTTGATAGAAAGGCTTCCTTAGAACCAAATTCAGAGTTAGCAATGTTGGAGTTGAAACTAGTTGCTGGTGGCATTGATAAAAAGTCAGTAAATGATATCGTGTCACAGGTTGATAGAGGCAGCAATTTCAGCAAAGACATCTGCATTATCGTGGGTGGAGACACAACTGTAGATGTCAAAGGTTCTGGTGTGGGTGGAAAAAATCTGGAGACAGCTTTGGCTGCGGCAGTACAAATGCACGAGGATTTTCGACGGGACAAACTAAGCGTCACGGAAACAAACATGTGCGTGCTGTGTTGTGACTCAAATGGTTACGACGGCCTGACCCAAGTTGCCGGGGCAGTAGTGGACCTAGATTTCCTTGATCATGTGAAGGAAGATGAATATGACATGCAGGAGTACCTGGCTAACAATGACACATTTTCCTTCTTTAGCAAGATCAACGAGGGCCGGAATTTGGTGAGAACGAACAAAACCGGCACTAACGTTATGGACATGATGATCTTGCTGGTGCGAAGGTCAAGAGAGTAGGTATGAAGAAAAATGCGAGTGAAGTAGAAATTTGACTGTAGGCGTGATACTTTTCTAGAAATTTCCTGAATTCTGTGAATTTGAAATTTATATAAATGACTGGAGAAGCCTTGTAGAAATGAGAAAGTGGTTGGCCCCCTAGAATAGTTAATGCTTTTTTTGGTTTTGTGTGTGACAGCGTATATATATATATATATATATATATATATATATATATATATATATGATATACTGTTGTGAGACCATTTCATTGTTTTTGATTATGGTGCAATCTAATACAGTAGTCTCCGCCTAAACGCACAGTGCTCGGGAGGACTCCTTAGTGTGTGTTTATATGAAGCATGCTTTTACATGAACCTGTGCATAGGGAGGAAAGGACGCAATCATCTTATTGCCTTGATATTCTAGTGGCCTCCCTTATGAAGTGGGGGTCACTTTGTCCGATAATATGACGACACGTGACTGTTTTATAAAGGATTTCTTGACTTTGGTTATAAAAACAATGGCGTTGAATGGGGGGGGGGCAGAAGGACAGACTCAATGTAATTATATGCATCATAAAATGTTGGGAACAGACTAGATACAAGGAAACTTGGTGATAGTCATAGTATAGGGACGACCGCTCAACCACATGGCTTTCCAAGCGACCACCCCGGACGGTAAATTCATGGATGACATCAGAATCATAGATCTACATTCCTAGAGACTTTTCTCTTGTGATTCGTTGAACAAGTACATTATAAGTTCTTCGAACTCAGCTGATTATACTTACTTGACTAATCTTTAACACTTTGCCCCCTCGGGACGCCGGTCGGCGACGGTAAAAAGCTGTCCCTTTTCCCCACAGGATGCCGATTGACGCCTATGTGATATAGCGTGTACTGCACCTGTATCCTGGTCTGTGGGGATTAGTGTTGCACGTTCTGGGTGCTGCGTGGGTGGAAAGTGTTAATCCTATTGTGGCCTATCTAGTGTTCTACCGCATTCACACATGATGCGCATCATAGACCTAAGTCTAACTAAACAATACGTGCAGCTAACCATGCTCCAGTCAGAGACCTCTCAAAGACACATTTCGAGTGACCAGTCAAAAAACATGTCAGTCCTCCAACCTCCCAACATATCACTCGACCAGTCCAAGACCGATGTGTCCGTGGAAAGTTAGTTGTGAAAACTCTGTCCATTACTCTCGATGTTGTGCACGAGGGCCAGTCTCAAAGTTTGTCTAGGCTTGCCTTGTGCAAGCTGTGCAGGTTATAGCAAAAAATTCCTTTTGTTGAGCTTTACTTGGGGGCATGTTTGGAGGATTGAAGCATGAGTTTAGAAGAAGTGACCGTGCGTTTGTACATGTAAATTGTGTAGTAAAAAACTCGTCATATGACGAAAGTGCGTGTTTGAGCGGAGCGTGCTTTTGTATGGCGTGCGTTTAGGGGGGAGACTACTGTATGATGAAGCATTTCATACTACAGCCTGGTGATGCGTGTTCAAAGGAAAAACTTCTGAACTCTTTTACTGATGTAGCAGAATTGTTGTTGTTGTTATTTTCAAATGAAGGGATTCGAGATTGAGTTAAGATTTGCTTTGTTTTGTCTTTCTGTTTTGTTTATTAACTTTTAATTGGGGGGGAGGGGGGAGTTTGAAGGGTGTTTTTATGGGCAGTGTGACGTCTTTTTTATTTGTTTGCTGATTTTTGTTTCCTCATTTAGAGTAAATTAGAGTATTTTCCCTCTTTTACTGGTTTTTGCTGTGTCTATGTCACACAGAAATGCCCACTTAAGCAGACTGGCTTGAGCATTTATATGTGTCACAACACGGTGGAATCTGGTGCTAGTCAATTTTTGGGCATGTGGAGTTACTGGTATACTCTTAAAACCTGTTCATTTGCCTTGCTTTTGAAAAAAAAAATCCATCTATCATGAACAGAAGTGGAGATATTTGCAATCGAAGGAGGCGTGGATCGCCTGGTGTCATAGGTGAAATTAACGAGAAAATGGCAGCCAAACTTTGGTGACTTCCATAGTTTGTTTACATTTTTTGTACCTTTAATCAAAGTTTTTCAGTAAAATCCATACAAAAATTAATTTAAAAAAATAAAAAAAATAAAAATTCCTCATATCGGTCAGAAAAGTGCCGGTTTCTTTGATTTCATTATTTTGACGACCGCCTGATTCCACCACGATGCCTCACATATAAACTTTGTAGTATAAAACGGGGCAACCTGCTCTTTGATACCTTACTTTGTTAGAAAACATTGTATGGAATTCAGTGCACTTGTAGTTACTCGTTTAAAAGAAGCATGGTTCTGTATGTCAAATTATTTTGTCATTCAGTCCCTTTTGATGACAGCCTCCGTTGACAGAGTATATGAACACACTTTTGTTTGGCGCACTTCTTGAAGTGATGTTGATATTGAGACATTCGTCGTTAATACCTCTTTAGAACAATGTTTTTACAAAATGATACGTGTTTATGTGTCAAATTAATGTAGAACTCGCATCTTGTATCGTAACTAATCAAATTCTTAACAAGTCTTTCAGAAGTAGAACATTGTACATTTTGTTTCCAGACATGAGCAAAATTTTGGTTATGACTTTCATAATTGTTACAAATTTGTATATCATAAGCACTTTATAAGTAACATTTGGTTAAAACTTCTTAGCTCATGACGTTGGGCATACAGTGTATGAGAGCTGTCATGAATGAGTTAATTAAACTCAAAAGTCTCTTCCCTGGAGACTGGAGAGTTTTTTGATTATGGATTCCACAGAATGTATTATGATGAATACACTGTGAGCAATGAGATGTATCCGGTGAATGCTATTTTAGACATTCCTGACTTTGCTTTAGAGAATAACCTGGCTGTGGTGCTGTTGGCTGTGAAATTGAGAAACTCAAGGAGATTTTTAGGGGTCAAATTGCCCTTTGGAATTTTTTTTTTTTTTAAAACTGTCTCATGTCTATCTTTGAAATGACAATTTGGTGTAGTGTTCCCTTGGACCAAAAGAAATACCTCAAAATAAGTATGTATAGTATATGAGCATTAGTACAAATTTTTATTTCTCTGTTTGTCTTTATATATGGCCTCAATATTTTAAACGCGCTGCATAGTAGTTTGAGAGAGATCGAATCTTTTATAAATGCAATCAAGTTTAAGTTAATTCATGTCATTTCTGTTTTTAGATAACAGAATTATCTAGATTTTAAGTAAGAACACAATGTTCTGTTTATCTGTTGCTGCTTTTTTTTGTTTGAATGTGAAGCACTCAGAACCTGTGCTTTTTATTCAGGGATGAGTGAGGTATAAATGTTTTACATATTATTATTATTATGAATATTTATGATCTGGAAAATTTTTTCAAGATTTTTTTAAGTTTGTACTTTTGATCTCAGAAGTTTGGGTGGTTAGCAGGTGCTCTGGTGTGGTTTACTCCTTCTTTCCTACTAAACATCTATCATTCTCATCTCTTCTCCTTCTTTTCTTTGAATGTTACTGTTACTCTCTTGTAAAACCCCAAATCTTCAACACTTGTTTGACCTCTTTGTGTTGCAAGTGCTATAAAACTCTTACTTATTAAATCTAGATCTCAGAAGTTTTTTGATGTATACAGAATTTAATTTACTTTTATTGTGGTCTGATCAATTTCAGGTTAAAAAAAATTTGAGTGTGAGCTACAAAGTTGCAGTAGTTTTGCACTTATTTTGGTGTCGTAATTCACTCAATAATATCTTTTGAAAGTCAAGTATTTCTTGTCAGCAACTTTAGTTATGTATGGTTATATAATAATATATGTTCTGGTTTACTGACTTTTCTTTTTATAAATTTTTGTTGAATGTACTATTGTTCTGTGAAGTGAAAAGGGGTGCTATTGCTTTGTTCATCCAAAAGAAGTTATAAACATATGAAACTGGAAGATCCCTTCATTAATTTTTGTTATCATGTTGGACAAAACATAAGTTTTTATTTCTTTCTCCCCCACAAAAATCCTGGAAGTTTATAGTTGTTCAACTTCACCATAGCTAAAACAAAGATACCATAGACATATCAGCCATGAACATTTCATTCCATTTGGGCTAAATGGTTTTATTAGATGTTTGGAAGAATAGTGAGCAGATTTTAAATTGCTCTATATTTGATAATTGTTCAGAATATTAAATCTACTTATTTTATTGATAGAGGAGATTTCACAAAGACGAAAGAATATTGTTTTGTAGTAGCTGTTTACACTTGCCATTAGCAGTAGTGTATGCAAACTTAGTGTTATCGATCATGGTTGGTGACTTATTTTTGAAAAACTCAGATTTTTGGCCATCTTTTCCTTTAATGAAACAATTTTTTTCTCCTCCATTTTCTTTTTCTGTATTCTTGGTAAAGATTTTTGTGTGGATTTTTTATTGCCATCTTTTCTTTTGAGCACATTGTGTACACAAGTTCTATTTTCTTGTTTTTTTCATCCTTTTTTGTAGAAAATGATAGGTAATGGACGCTGTCTTGTCTAAGATCATTGGTATGAGTCATGAGAGATCCCTTTTTGACCTTTTGGAAGACCAGACCATTCTCACTGCTTTTGTATTACACTTTATAATTTTCTTGATATTATTATTACTTTGTATGTAGGCCTAGTTAAAAATAAAGGTTTAAATTATTTTGAGAATTTGTTGGCTTTACTCCTTGGAATGTGTAAACTTTATGAAAGCAATACATTCTAACTTTTTAGACAGGATTCATTTGTATTACATGTACGCTCTGGTTTTAGTTACCGTGGCAATTTAAAAATCGAAAATGAGGTCTGGCTGTAAGTAAAGAAAGTGTATGGGTATAACATTCTTATCAACACTTTTAGGTTATTTAAGAAGGAGGACCTTCAAATTTAATGTCAATCTCAGAAAGGACTGAGCCAAATGGGCTGAAAGCCTTGAAGACTCCACAAAATGACCCAAGTTCAAGAGTGCCCAGTCTGGGATTTAAACCAGGGCCATCTGCTCTGTTGTCCAGCCTGATACCAACTGAGTTAACGGAGCACCCTAGGCTGATATAAATATCCCATAAATATGGATAAGAGGCCCTTAGAAAATGGTGAAATTGTATAGGTTTAACACCCCTACCGACAGGTTATTTAAG